AGCACTTCTCCAGAAGGCAGCCACTGTTGCTGCAGTACACTCTGCAGGTCACGTGAGCTCCACCATGGCCCAGCTGGATATGAGTCACGTGAGCACCACCGCTGCCGCTGGGGAATTTGCGGCGGGGAATCTTGTCGCTTGGACTGACCACTTCACCAGGGACTTTCTTGGCCTGAAAGGAAACCACTGTGGCAGCGACAGTGGCGGCAATAATGGGAGCTCGGGGGACCTGCTATCCTACACCGAGGGTGTAGAATACCCAACATATGGCCATGAACATCACTATTGAAGCATCAAGGAGGCTTTGGATTTACTGAAACTACATCAGAAGGTAAACTATTGAAGCCACACAGCACTACAGATGACTAATTCAGATATTTTACTCTGAATACAAGAATGCTAAGGAACATGAAGGCTTTTATTAATTTCCGGTTTTTGGTTTAAATATTAGACTGTATATCATTCTCATAATTGCTTGTTTTCAAGATTATTACAGTACATTTTTGAATTATTATGATGCAAGACTTTGATATGTTATCTAGTAGTGTTTGCCTTACCTTACAAAGCTAATGACTATCAGAATTTTGTCTTCCATTTGCCAACTTTAGGCATTTCTCCTGATGTTTGGCTGTACTTAAAAATAAGTCATGTTTATTTCTAAATTGCTTATTTTTTTGACATAGTTTTAAAAAATTAAAAGGATTTGATAAACCCGATGCCACATAGCCTTTTCTAAAGGGGTGAAGAGGCTGTAAAAATCCTGCTATAAGCGTGAGTATAAAAGTAACTAGGTTGGTGGTGTATGTGTTTTTGTGCAAGGATTAGTGGTGGTCCGGGGGAGCTAGTGTTGTACAAAGACCCCAAAAAGGAAAAGAGAAAAAAATTAAAGAAGATAAAAGATGATTGAAAAATGTCAACGGTTATGAAAAAAAAGAGGCCCAATTTACATTTAAAGTTTAGGATTACCATTCTTACTCCTATTTTCCAGGATTCTTTCTTAAAAATCTTAGATCTTTGCACTCCTTAAATTAGGCCCTTCGGGTCGTAAACCTACCTGCACAGCAACACAAGTAGTCCATTTTGTGTTTCACAATATCAAAGTGGGAAGAAACATAAAATGGTTCAACTTAACATATATCTACAAAAGCGTGAAATGTTTGTTTCATTTGGATGTAGACATACATGCAACTCAACAATAGTATAATATCATCGTCTACGAGTTGGATAATCATGTGCGTAGCAAAAAGGAAGAATGAATATTCAAGATTTTGGAGAAAGGAAAGGAATCATATTCCAAAGCAAAGAATAAGCACATTAGTCTTAAGAAGTATATTCAGCACCTCAAATTAAGAAAAAAAAGTGAGAATTAAGATTGGACCAAAGAATAAAAACACTGGGATGTTTACTATATCCAAAGCTTTTAGAAAGTAGTACATGTAAGTTGCTGGCCTAAGGTACAAAAACTGCCATTTGCCTAGCAGAAAAGACTGCCTCCTCCTATCTTGCTCAAACAGCACAACCAGACAAATAAAAAGCTTCTATTCCATTCCATCCTCTCCCTCCACCCCGGCCTATCTTTTATTCCTTTTCTTCTTTCTTCCAAAGCAAACAATTACCAAACCTTCTTTCCTACGCTTTTATCTCTTTTCCCCTTCTGCTGCAAATCCCAACGTAAGTTGATACTCTTTCTTTTCCAGAAACAACTTGAGTATCACCACAGTAAGGGATAAAGGTAAAGCCAAATATCCAAGCCCAATTTCAATATAATACTGGTTAAGCCAAACCTCTATAAGCAATAAAAAAAGGGAAGAAAAGAACCAGTTAAAGATGCATGCATATTCTCTTAGCTTTTCTGATTCTTAAAAGCTATCTGCGAATAAAGAGCATTCTATGAATAAGAATGAAGTGAAACTACTATAATGAATTCTAAAGCAACGAATCCCTCATGTTAGGAGGAATTGTGATACAGTGATTTCGCAGAAATATGAAAAATTGTTGCTCCTGAAAAGATCATTCAGAAACTAATAGGCAATGGTCAGGATGGATGCACTAGCAATGCTAATCAATAATGTCAAACTTTTCGTTCTGAGTTGCAAAATATTGGCGTAAAATTTGATAATAGCGTAATTGATGTATATCTCATGGGACAAGATCTCAAATTACTAATTGATCCATTTATGTAAACATCACAACTTTTTCAGTGAACTCTCTGTCTCTCCCTCTCTCTCATGCTTGATTGTCAACATGAAGACATTATTGACCAAATTATTGATAAACTTTAAACCCTCTTTATCTTTACATCCACATCAAATATTGAGGGCTGAAGTTTGTCAGCATTGTTCTTTAATCTCGTCATAACAGCTTTTTTCGAGTCCACTAACCTTTTATTGCTCCGTTGACAATCTCATTTACTAAACAGTAGAAGGTTTCAAAGTTTCGGGACACAACATTTTAGTGCTGAAAACTCAAATCTTAGTATCTATTGTTGGGGTAAGAGCGTGACGCATGAAGTCCTTTTCCATTGACAATCAAGATCAATACAGACATCAAGCACCTACCTCATTCAAATATAAATTTATGTAATTAGTTTTTAGAACATACATCTTAGGACATTTCTGTTGCGTTGAAATTCAGATTGCAGCGGAGGACTCACTTGTAGTCCATATGAAACCGAGAAAGAAGATCCTCCAATGCCGTCAATTTAGTTCAACCTGCAGTTCTGAGACTAGAAGCTATGTGTTGAGGAAATATTCAGTGTCAGCTTGTCATCCAGCCAACAATTTTGGCCCACCGAGATTAGTTCCCAGAAACTGATCCAGAATCTTCTTGAATGCATGCCTATAAAAAAAATTCTGCTTTACTGTCATAAAGAGAAGCCCTTTAGTCCACCTAAACGTCCTTTAAAGATAAGAACAAGTTGTTTTTGCTGCTCGTATTCAAAGCAGAAGTATCCGTATACAAGGATGAACTTGGAATAAAGATGAATATGCAGGCCAAACAGCATAGTGTCCCCCATCACCAAAATACAAAAAGGAAAGGAAAGAAAGAGTAAGAAGTCACATCAGGATAAGAAATTAATGTAAGCAAAATCATCAAGATCAACGTATTCAAAATGTAAGCATGTTAAATTTGAAGTAACAGGAATATAACGAGGAACAGGATTGCTAGTTGCTACATAACAGCATCCTCGAAGGTCATTTCCTAATTTAGTCCCTAACCAGTGGAAAACACTCAAATGAAGACAGAAATACAAAACATACAAAAATAAAGACCTCAGCAACATTCTCATCCCCCCCTTTCCCAGCCACTATATTGATTGAAAATTACATAAAGTAATGGTTGAACTAAAAATGGGGAAAAAGTAATGAGTTACCTGCCATTCACACAACTCTTTCCGACTCAGAAGAGAGTACATGTCATAAAAATAGTTATAGAACATGATATAACATTTCTAATAAAATTGATTCCTGGAGAGGTCACACAAAAAAATATAGATTAGAAACCAATGGGATATCCCACACTTCACAGGGAACAAAATAATGTAAGAAACCACTCAGAAAGAAAATTGACACTCATTCAATCAATCCCCCAAGTTTTCGGGTAAGAATTTCTGTTTAATTTTTGGAGGATGAGAAGGGAAGACAAGAAAAAGAAAACAGCAGTTTTACCCTGCAATGAATTCCTCAAAAATCTGGATAGCATACGTAACCAGTGCCGGGGGAAAAGATAACATGAGTTGTCCCTCACCACCCTCAGCATATTATAGAGAAACAACTCATAAATACAGCAGGTGAGTTGAACAAACAAACAAAACAATTTTGGGCCAAAAGTGGAGATGATAAAAACAGAAGAGAAGAAAACAAAAGAGTGAGCTTCTCCAATTTTGTCCGATATTCCACAAGATCAAGTGTTTAACTGACTTGAGAAGAAAAGTCGTTTGTTTGCATATTACTAATTATCTATGTCCTGCTGATAACAACAAATTCTTCATTATTGTTGCTGGAGTCAGTTGATACCAAATTTACTATATAACCCAAGAAAGAATCTATTTCAGGCATCAAGGTCTTTCTCCAGACAAAAGAGATAGGCGTTCCTTATCATCTCAAACCTAAAATTTTTGAGTTTAGACATGATCAATTGTTTCCATGCCAATCTTATACCGAAATGCTAACCATTGTTGCTTAATCAAAAATTTTACTTCTTTTCACCGCCAAAATCTCTTTTACCCAATATTCTTCCATTAAATTTTTCTTGCAAAGTCAAATACACATACCCCATCTCTTCTAAACAAGATAATGCCCCGTTAATTTACAATATCAATAAAATCTATCTTTAACACCTTAAGCCATATTAATTTATATTCTACATAACATTCGATATTACAAAGAATAAATACAATGACTGCTCCTAATTTTCTATTTGTCTATCCATCTTCAGCAGCATAATGACCTATTTTATGAATTTTTGTGCATGCTTAAACTCCACAGTGATGATCTCCAACAAATTTACCTTAACTCAGCAAAGTTCTCTATTTCCACCTAATCCTTCCATACATTATCAGGTATCCATATTGTCCCTGGCAAAGGTCTGCTTGGCTTGTCTAACAGAATTGGATCTTCAACTTCAAAGCCACATATCTATCATGGAATAAGTCGGCTGATTCATAACATTCTTTGTGCGAATTTGATGTCAAATTTTCTATCAAGTATCGGCGGACACAATATTATGAAAAAGAAGATGCTGTCAAAAACTTCTTTAATTCACCAATCACTACTACTTTGCAGAATTAGGAACTTCATTATGCTCAGTATTTAATCCAGAGACAAGTCATATTTCTCCGCCACTTGAACTCAATTACACATATATGCTACAGTGAATAAGTTCTAACAGACTGGAAATATTCATATTTATGTTGAACAATATCCTTCAATTAAAACAAGTTTTACGCTGTCACCATGTTCTGTCTTCAAGTCTAGCTCCTGCCTTAGCAACTTAACATAATGCTTGCCGCAACAGTCTCGTCTACTGCACCAAGAGACATACTCCAACAGGATATCTATCATAACAGGTAAAGTAATCCATAAAGAACAATAAGCGGTGGCTAGAAAGCCAAGAAAGTTGTGGACTAATATTCAGAGACAATACTGATATGAAAATGAGAGATCATTTTCTCCAAAAAGATAAAATTTTAAGGCTGGAAGGAAACATCGTTCACAAGAACTTCAGAATCTGTAAATCATACATCAAATGTTACCAGCTCTAGGAATGCAAAAAGTGTCGACTGGAAGAATAACCTTCTGCCTTGGATAATGACAAAATTGCGGTTTTTTTAAAGCAAGAGTGGACAAAGTGTTATTGAGCATAAGATTGAAATGCCTGGTAGTCCATAGACCAACCTGACAAATAGGAGCATGCTATTGCCGCTGTGAGTGGAGAAAGAGAATTGAGATATGGTTGCTGACTTACCTGTGATTTAAGGATGGATATAAGAAAGGACATGCAGAATGAGGGTACAGAGCAAAGATACACAAATTTTACTTGTTTCAATTGATCACATACATGTATAGAGGTTTAGATGGCATATAGTTGCCTCTATACACCTTGTACAAATGAAGGCTTATAATGACAGTAAAACGTTAAAGCTCATAGAGTAATGCAAATAGAACTTACAAAACAGTTGTTTACTCAAATTTTGTTCCAACAAATGGATCATTATTTGGAAGATATATAAAGGATAAATTTATCTAATCTTTCATCAACCTTTACTAATGACTCCTTCAACCGAAAGAGTGGTGAATCATTTCCTTCAAGAAAGAATAGGAAATAGGAATAGAACACTATAAACTGCATAATTTTAGGAACAACCAATGAAATTGCTTCGAAATTAACAGTAAGTTTTAAGGCCAAACTTTTTGCTTGAAAGTTGAAACCATGGTATGCACAAACCTCAAGTGGTGCAACGCACTTGACCACACACTTAGAACAGACTATTGAGGTACCATGGACAATGGGTTAATAATTTGATAAGATAATGTACCGCCTAATTATTTCCTTTCCCTGAATATAGTGCAGCCTAAATTAAGGATGAGACATATAAGGCCGTTATACTTTGTGATCCATAGCCATAAGAAACAATGTATAGAAATAAGGAGGATTTGACAAATATGAGTGAATGAGGAGTACACATCATAATCTTTTGAGAGCTTTCGGAGAGGTTCTGTGCAAGAGAAGACAAAACACTGCCAAAAACCTTTACGACAAACCTGAGAGAACCAAGGAGAATTTGGATAAATAAAATGACAGCAAAACTCACTATTTGACAACCATTCAAATGAAACTCTTTTTTCTTTTTTCTTTTTTTTAAACTCATTTTCAACCACATATTTTCACAATAAAATATTTAGCACGTAAATCTAAATTATTTTCTCAATTTCTAACCACACATTCACAAAAAAAAAATCACTATTTAAAAATTTATTTTTCCCAAAAAAAAAAATCTTTGTAATAATTATAAAACAAAGTCTAGTAACTAAATGGCTACTTCAAATTTAAGTTAAAATCATCATCACAATTAAAGGTTCATTGTGATCATTTACGTTAGTTATATTTAAGTCTTTTCGTGTAATATTAAAAATTATTAAAAAATTATATTTTAATACTACTACTCATTTCTTTAATACATATTAATTTCACTTACATATTATAACTACTACTCATTTCTTTAATACATATTTCATGAAATTTTAAAACTATTTATCTTTCTAATAAATTTACCCAACTCTAACAATGATAAGATAATCTTCAAGCACACCTACAATATAGCAAGTGCTCCATCACCCATGCAGGGAGTAGGTTAAATGGCCACGTTAATCTCAACTCTCGTTCGATCTCAACACGACACCCCTCGTTCAAGAGAACCCACAAAAAATGTCTTCTCGGAATCTCCGAAACGTCTCGAAAACCCATCAACTTGAAAGAAGCCTTTTTGTCACTCACCAATACTATAAGCTTAAATTATAATCAAAACCAATGCTAGATGAAGTCTCTCGATGGCGCTAGATTTATGTGCAAGCGAGAAGTCTCTTTCACTAAGCAGACAAATACACGCCCATGTAGTAAAATGCGACATTATCTGTGATTTAGTGTTCTTGAATACAAAGCTCGTGCTTATGTATGGGAAGTGTGGATGTTTATTTTATGCTGAAAGGGTGTTTGATGAAATGTTGAAAGAAATATTTTTACTTACAATGCTATGCTTGGTGCTTACGTGTCAAATAAATGGGGGAGTTTTGGGAAGCAGTTAAACTTTATGCTGAAATGCAATTCTTGGAAATCCCTGTGGATGCCCTTACTTTTAGTTGTGTATTTCCTAGGCATGTGGTGGCGTTAACGACTTGTCTGCTGGGAGAGAAATTCATACATTGGCGATAAAATTTGGGTTCGTTTGTAATGATATTTTAGTTCATTCTTTGGTAAGTTTGTATTCCAGGTGCAATGATCTTAATGCAGCACAATTGCTATTTCATAGAGTGATAGTGGAGATGTTGTCCTTTGGAATTTAATGATATCTACGTATTCAGCAAATGGGATGAGGAAAGAAGCTTTGAGGCTTTTGGCTGAAATGTGAAATGTTGGCGATCCCCCAGCGCTTACACTTTTGTCGCTGCTCTTCAGTCCCGTCAGGAGCCAATTCTTGGAAGTTCTTGCATGGAAATCCATGCTGTTGTTTAGAAATCTGGTTTTCATCGAGGTATCTATGTGTCTATTTCTTTGCTTGTTATGTTCACAAGATGTGGGAAACTGGACGAAGCTGATAAAGTTTTCATGAGTATGGATGAGGGGGGATAATGTTTCCTGTAATTCCATGTTATCTGGTTATGTATAAAATGGCCTTCATGATGAAGCGTTTGATTTGTTTACTGAGATAGTGCTGGTCAAAAACCCGACCAACTTTCAATTATAAGCATCATTTCTGCCTGTGGCAGGTCAGGAAAGCTGTTGAATGGGATGGAATTTCATGCTTTTGCTTTAGAAAATGAATTAGATTTTGAACTGCAAGTTGGCAACACCCTGATGGACATGTATGCAAAGTGTACTAAGATAAGTTTTATGGATTCTGTCTTTCATAGAATGCCATGTAAAGACTACATTTCTTGGACAATAATCATTGCTGGCTATGTTCAGAATAATTTTCACATGAAGGCCTTGGAACTGTTCAGGAAAGTGCAATCGGAAGGAATGGATGCTGACAGATTGATGATTGAAAGCATTCTTCTAACTTGTAAAATGCATTATGAAAGCGAAAGTGATTCATTGTTACATTATAAGAAGAGAATTATCTGATCTTATCCTACAGAACACTCTCTTGGACGTGTATGGAGAGTGTGGAAATGTAGATTATGCATGTAATATCTTTGATTTGATTGAAGTAAAAAATATCGTATCATGGACTAGCATACGAGGCTCTTGAACTGTAGATTATGCATGATCTTTGATTTGATTGAAGTAAAAAATATATCATGGACTAGTATACGAGGCTCTTGAACTTTCATTCTGCATGGTAAAATTAGGTGTTGAACTGGATTCTATTGCACTGCTGAGTGTGCTTTCTGCTGCTGCTGATTTATCAGCACTGGGAAAAGGCAAAGAGATTCATGGTTATATGCTTAGGAAGTGTTTTGTTTTAGAGGGTTCCATTGCCAGTTCACTCATGGATATGCATGCCAGCTCGGGACTGTTGACAGCTCATATAAGGTTTTCTGTCGTATTAAAGATAAAGATTTAGTTTCATGGACGAGCCTGATTAATGCATATGGAATGCATGGTCATGGTAGGAGAGCAGTTGATTATTTTGAAAGATGGAGACTGAACATCTTCTTCCTGATCATGTTGCCTTTTTGGCACTTCTCTATGCATAATGCATGTAGTCATTCATCATTGGTTGATCAAGGCAAACGATTTTTTGAAATAATGCAACATGTATATAAATTGGAGCCATGGCAAGAGCATTATGTCTGTCTGGTTGATCTGCTTGGTCGTGCAAATTATGCGGAAGAGGCATTTCAAATCGTTAAAAGTATGAAAATGGAGCCAACAGCTGCTGTATAATGCTCTCTCCTTGGTTCTTGCCGAATTCATTCTAACTCATAAATAGGAGAAATAGCTGCAAGAAAACTTCTTGAAATGGAACCAGTGAATCCAGGAAATTATGTACTTGTTTCTAATATGTATGCTGCGGAAGATAGATGGGAAGATGTGGAAGAAGTGAGGATGAGGATGGAAATAACAGCACTGAGGAAAGATCCTACTGTAGTTGGATTGAGGTAGGAAACATGGTTCATACATTTTTGCCAGGGACAGGTCTCGTCCAACTTCTGATGAAATTTATGCAAAATTAGCTCAGATTACTGAGAAATTAGAGAACAACGGAGGTTATATGGCTCAAACTAGGTATGTGCTGCACAATGTAGAAGAGAAAGAAAAGGTCAGATGCTTTACGGGTACAGTGAAAGGCTTGCTATTGCCTATGGCCTACTTACTACTCCCAAGAGAACAACTATCCGAATCACAAATAACCTCCGTGTATGTGGTGACTGCCATACTTTCACTAAGCTCATTTCCAAGTCTTTTGAATGAGAAATTGTAGTAAGAGACGCCAACAGATTTCATCATTTTAGGGATGGGGTCTGTTCCTGTGGAGATGTCTGGTGACGGTTTGAATGTGTAAATATTTTGCTATAAGAAGAATCAGCCCCAGTTACCTTTTGGCAATCTCGCCTGTTGACATCCTCATCTCTTTCTGTAGATAGACATGTTGTGATTTGTGAAGTGGAGAGCTGAATTGTATACATGACTGTTGCAGTTATGAGCCAAGGAAAATAATTTATTTGAGAGTTGAGAAGATAATGACTACTGATACCTTCCTGGATCCAAAATATGCCCCTGAGAAGCTGTTGCCATGAACTTGCAGATGGTTCGGTGTGAGCAGCTTCTAACAACCTCATTGTCAAATAAATTTGAGAACCAGGGCCAACCAGAGGACAACTGACAATTCTGTGTATGTAACAAGCAATGTAAGTAATTGCAAGCATACTGACTTACTGATCTGTCCCATTTTCATTGAGCTTGATTCAACGGAAATTTAAATTTTGATCTTCATAAAGGGGATTGGTGTTTCTAGAATTCAGCTTTCTTCTCCTTTGTCCTGGAAGATCTTTATGATGTAACCAAATTTGAGATCATTTTATACATGTTGATTATAACTTCCCTAATATTGTAAATAACAATCAGGCAACAGAACTATAATACTCTCTACTTTCTTTTTCATTTTTCTGTATAGGGAAATTGTAAAAGATAGAAGAACCAAGGGGAAGAAAGAAAAAATAAAATAATTCAAGCTACATAGATTTGAATTGTTAAATTATCTTGTATGATGATATATTTTATATCTTACATTTATAAACTTTTCCCCTAATGAAATTATATTAAAAAAATAAATTGGAACATAATTAAAAGAAATAAAAATTAACTAGAACAAGTTGACATACAAGCCCGCAATACTAGTCACCTGGGAACCTTAATGACCCTGCAAATTAGCCAGTCGCCTAGATGATTTGAGTTACTTGCCATATGTGAGAATTGTGGTCCTCTAACACTTACGGGCTAGTGCTATTTGAGACATTTATATTGTTACTTATTATTTGACTTAGTTGCTTAGGTGTCCTTCACCTATTGGTAGCTTTGGCTTGACCCAGATTGTGCTAGTTTGGTTTTATTGTGACCATTGGATTGAGATCAAGGACTGGAATTTATTCCTTGGTTGAGATATTTTCTTGGCTTGACTCTTGGTCGTTATATTCACGTGGGTATCCTTCCTTGAGACTCTTCTCCTTTTCTCTCACGTTCGGTCTTCTCTCTGTCTCTTTGTTGGGGTTGTTTTCTTCTCCTTCTTCCTGTGGCCCATGAAATCGATCTTTAGCCTATTGATTGAAGAAACTCTTGTGTATTCTTTGGCCTGAAATAGTGGCTAAGTGGTGTTGTGTTTCTCAAGGGCTTAGGTATGATTTAGGGGTGATTCTTGGCTGTTTTTTGTAGATCCTTGGATCGATGATCCAAGCCAAGTGAGGAGAGGTTCTGGCCGGTTCTCTAGCTCTCTCTGGAAGGCAAATTTGCAAGGCATGGAGGCTGGTCCTGAGCCTAACTGATTCGGCCAAAACAGGGAAGAAGAACTCTGTTGCTTTTCGGTTTCTATGATTTCAATTTCTATGATTTCTGTATGTTATGTAAATGATTATTGTATGTTGTTTTGAGCTACTGAACTCTGTAAATTCCTAACAAACTGGTATCAGAGCCCCTTCGACCTAGGGCTTGGCTACATTCATCCTTTTTGAATCTGTTGGTTGGGTTCTTCGTTTTTAGGTTTAGTGATATATCTGTATAAACCTTCTAAGGTCTAAAGAGAAAACATCACTCTATGGCATCTTGTTCCTTTAATCGATACTGATTCCTCTATTCTTTATTAATGTGTATGTGTTGGCTGGATTGGGTGATTTGGTGACTTTAGCTGGCTTGCTCGATTGAGGAGTTGATGGTATAATTACTATTTTTCAACAATTGGTTGGTAAGATTGTTCCAAACTCTCCTTTAGGATATGTTTGGTATCCTACCCTGATTAATGCATTTCTGCTTGGTTACTCATCTGCGAATTCTGTTGATTGAATTCTTGTGATTGATTTAGAACTTGAAAGCATACTTACCTGCATTTGATACATGTGCGTTGCCTGAGTTTGATCACACATGCACACACATCACACTGAGGTTTCTTGGTCGAATTGATTCATTGTTGTGCTTTATTTCTAGACATTGGTTTTAACTCTGCATTCATATTGTGTGTTGATCATCTGAAATAGATTTTTTCAAAACCTTTTCTGTTGTATCCATGAGTACGGGCCACCCTTTTACAGAATTTGAAATGGGTTCGAGGGTCGAATTATCGNAGGGTCGAATTGTCACAATTCGATGGAAAGGGGGATTACTCGATATGGAAACAAAAAATGAGGGCCATTTTGGTCCAACAGAGAGTTGCAAAAGCTCTCGATGATCCTTCTACTTTTTCTGACGAGTTAAAAGCTAAACCTATTGAAATTGAAGAAATGAATGAAATTGCTTACAGTTCTATAATTTTGCACTTGTCTGATAATGTTGTTAGACAAGTTGATAGTGCTAAAGATGCTAGAACTTTGTGGACTGCCTTAGATGCCTTATTCTTGACTAAGACTTTGTCTAACAAGATATATATGTTAGAGAAGCTGTTTAGTTTTAAGATGGACCCGAGGAAGGATGCAGAATGGAATTTGAGCGATTATAGCATAATTGTTAAGAGTCTTGCTCATAATGATAAGAAGTTTGACGGTGAAGATTTAGCTGTAATACTGTTAAATTCATTGTCCGAAACTTATAAAAAAATCAGAAATGCCATAAAGTATGGTAGGGACATTTTTTCGCAGGCTATTATGGTAGATGCGTTGAAATCGAGAAAATTTGAACTAAAAGGAGATAATATAACTAATCTGAGAGAAAAAAGCCTATTTGTTAGGAGAAGACATGAAAAGAGAGAATTTAACTTCCAGAACAAAAAGCGAATGGGGAAATCTAAAATGAGATCTAAATCTAAAGACAAAAGTGGTAAGAAATGTTATAACTGTGGTAAGATAGGACATTTTAAGAAAGACTGCTATGACTGGAAAAAGAAATAGAGAGACTTGAATAACATTGATCAAAACAATGCTGCCGTTGTTTCTGAATTTGATAGTCTACACGTCCTAAATGTGTCGGAAGGAGAATTTGATAAAAATTGGATCTTAGACACGGGGTGCACCTTTCACATGTGCCCTAAAAGGTCTTGGTTCCATAACTATCGAGAGGTTGAGTCTAGGAAGGTCTACATGGGAGACAACAACTCTCAGAATGTAGTTGGAGTTGGTGACATAGCCATCAGGATGTACGGTAAGGTTATCAGGCAACTCAGGGAGGTTAGATATGTCCATAATTTAAAGAGAAACCTCATTTCCTTATGTACTCTTGAAGATGAGGGATATACTTTTAAATCCAATAACAACGTTCTGAAAATCTTTAAATGATCTTTGATAGTTATGAAATGGTCCAAGAGGAATGGGTTGTACTATCTAGAGGGCAAAACTGAAACAACACTTGATTCGAGTCTTTTTGCTATTAGTAAAGATAAAATCGAATTTTGGCATAACCGAATGGGTCACATTGGGTTTAAGGAGCTAAAATCTTTAAGCAATCAAAAATTGCTAGGAAAGGATGAAATTGAAACTATGGATTTCTTTGAAACGTGTGTTTTGGGTAAGTCTCATAAGGTTAGCTTTGAAGCTAGCTCTCATAGGACCAACATTCCATTGGACTATATTCATGCTGATCTATGGGGTCCTGAGAAGCATTCCACATTTGGTGGAAGTAAGTACTTCTTATCCTTGGTGAATGATTACTCAAGAAAAATTTGGATTTATCCTTTGAAGGCTAAGTCGAAAATTTTTGGGAAATTCAGAATTTGGCTTAAGTTTGTTGAGAATCAGTTAGACAAGAAACTTAAAACATTTAGAACTGATAACGGGCTTGAATTCTGTAATTTTGAATTTGACAACTTTTGTAAACAGAAAGGAATAACAAGACACAGAACCGTTAAATATACACCTGAACAGAATGGGCTCCCTGAGAGAATGAATAGGACCATAATGAACAAGGTTAGGTGTATGTTGATTAGGTTTGGCCTTGCCAAAGGTTTTTTGGCTGAAGCTGCAAATACTGTAGCTTATCTAATTAATAGGTCACCGTCCAACATTATAGGGTTTAAGACCCCACAGGAGTTGTGGACGGGGGAACCTCCAAATCTGAGTCACCTGAGGGTGTTTGGATATGTGCATTTGCATATCAATCTGAAGGGAAACTTGAGCCTAGGGCTGTCAAGTGTGTGATTTTAGGGCATTCATAGGGTGTGAAGGGCTATAGGTTATGGGTTTTAGGGGTTCAAGGCATTAAGATTATTAACAGTAGGAATGTAGTCTTTAATGAATCTGAAATACTATGTCTAAGACAGAAAACTGATGAAGCTAACAAATTTGAAACTGAGATGAGTGTTCTAGACTAAGATAAAGCTTTCTAAGCTTGATTCACCTACACCTAGGAATGATGATAATGACCCTACAGATTACGAACCTGAAACTGAAACTGAAACTGAACCTGAACATGAAGAGGTGACTGAACTTTAAGATAACATTGAACCAGTTGAAGTTGAACATTTTAATGATCAGCCACCTAATCAAGATTACCAGCTTACTTGGGATAGGGCTAGAAGGCAGATCATGCCTAATCCAAGATATGAATCCCTAAGTTTGACTAATTTTGCCTTAGTTTCATGTGAAGCCCTTGAACAGATAGAACCTGCTACTTATGAAGAATCTATTAATGGAAATTATTCTGAAAACTGGATAAAAGCTATGCAGGAAAAAATGAAATCTTTAAGTGATAACAAAATCTGGAAACTTGTTAAGAAATCTAAATATTAGAAATTAGTTCCATGTAAGTGGATCTACAAGTTAAAAGAAGGTTTGAGCCCTAATAATTCTGTGAGGTATAAGGCGAGATTAGTGGCTAAGGGTTATATTCAAAGAGAGGGTGTAGACTATAATTAGATATTTTCACCTGTGGTTAAGTACAAGACAATCAGATTGATGTTAGCTCTTGTTGTTCAATTCAATTTGGAATTTGAACAATTTGATGTAAAAACTGCATTTTTACACGGGGTATTGGAAGAAGATATATTCATGAGCCAACCACAAGGGTTTGTGGCTAGAGGCAAGTCTGATTATGTGTGCAATTAGAGAAATCTTTGTACGGGCTGAAACAGAGCCCAAGACAATGGTACAAGAGGTTTGATGCC